TGAAAACAAAATTTTTGAGAATGGCATTTGTGGATTAACATTTTCTCATTGGATATGTATTTAAATTTGTTTTGATCTTATTACTGATCAGTGGTGGGATTCAATTTTTTTTTACTACCTGTTCTGTGGGGATGGCTTGGTGGCAGGGGAAGGATATCGTAAAATCTCCAGTCAGAGATGGGATTTGCTGTTTCTCCAAACTACTCAAAATTTCCACTACCGGTTCTCCAGAACTGGTCAGAACCTGCTGAATACCACCTCTGTAACTGATATATATCTTGTATAAAATTGATCATATCAGTTTACTAAGTTATTTTAAGGTTCTGATTTTAAAGACTTTCATAAAGCTTTTGGAAATAAAACAGTATAAAACTATAGTAAAAAATTAAATATTTTGTGGGCAAAGAATGGGGAACTGGACCTGATCCAGAAACCAATTCCATTCCCTACTTGGCTTGGTGGACTTGATAACAGTAGAAATCAATGCTTAAGCAAGGGAAGGGCTGGCATCACCTATAAAAGCACAGATGCCAAATAAGGCAGGGAGTTATCAATCTACAGTACATTTCACCTTATTCCATAGACAGCTCCTGGATGGTTCATCCCTTGTGTGCATTTCTCTGCAGGAGAAGGCATGTGCCTGAAAGAAAACTTTCATCCAAGTATTGGCAGCTCTTCTTATACCATATGGATGAAGGCTGCTTATGCAGGATGAAGTCAGCACTTGAAAGTTTGTCCTATTCTGAATGGCATTAGAAGTCAAAATCAAGGCAGGTGATGAAGAATGCCTACTAGATTGATTGTCCTAGGTCTTACCTCATGATTTTCATTATACAAGAGGTAGAGCTGTGCTTGCTGGCATTCCCAATTCACCCAACTATCTCTTGTTACAGTTAGCAGAGAGAAAGCATAAATTTTCAGATTTCCAGAGAGGGAAGTACTATGTTAGATGTGCCATCACGGACTTCAGTGTTCTATGGTGTTTTGAATGCTAATGTTGTTCCTAAGATAAAATTAGCCTTTCATTTTTTACTATGGTAACATATGAACTTACCAGAATTTGTGAAAATTAAACACAAAGGAGACACATCACCCTAATAAGACACCTTAAAATATATTTGATATGCTACTATTAAGAATATATTGTCAGGCAGCATTCATTTGGAGCCTTTGTCTGTTGGGTCAATAAGTCCGTGTCTAAGCAGCACAAAAGGATTCATTGACACAATTGATTTCGAGGTCAATTGTGTCTCCTTTGAAGAAGTCCCTCAGGACAAATTTACATGATAACTCATCATGAATACTGAAAAGCCATTAGATACTTGCCAGTAATGAATGTGAATTACACATAGTTAGGACTACTGAACTCCCAAGGTACTGCCAACATATGAGAAATATTTCATGAACTTAGGGATAAAAATTGTCTAGATGACAAAATATCGACAAATGTACAATTAGGATCAATTAAAAGTTTGCATATTAGCACATTAACCACCCTAAAACTGATATATTTATGTAAAACTATTCATGACTTCTTGGAGGAAAGTTTTCTCCTTAAGCTATCAATGCTGAAGCCCCTCAATAGAAGGCTCTCAGTATAAGAATAACAGACTACTGCAGCTATCAAATACACTAGTCTGTTTTGGGTTCAGTACTGCTAGATTCAGTCTGCTATTAGTTTTTGACTTTCTAGTTTACCCAAATCTAGTTGCAGTTTAGTATGATGCCAACTACACTTATATGATTAATTTATCAATTTTTACATGAGTCCTACCATCCAAGAATGTCAAAAGGAAACTTTGAGGTTGGCTTGGATTCAGAGAGTTCCTTCTAATGGAATACTTCTATGTGTTGGAGGCACCTTTCTTGCAGGATCAACAGAACTGGGCAGGAAAATTGACCCTAAATAGATAAGTGTTCTTCTGTTTGCATAAGTTCTTAGATAAAACATTGCAAGTGTCCCTCAGATGTGTACACAGAATGGCATTTGAAGGGTAGTGCATTGGCAGAAAAGAGATTGAAAGATTCCAAGGAAAACTTAACAAAAATGCATTATTCTACTAATGAGAGATTGCTTTCAGTCCAGCTGGTTACAAAGTGAGGAGGGGTTGGGAATTTTTTGTTTGTTTTCTTGTTTGTTTTTACAGGCAAATAAATTTTGCAGCTTATTTAGAAAGTGACCTTGTTGTCCGCAGGGGTAAAGATGCATTAATTTTGATGTAAGTTGAAGTTTGTTGAAGTTTGACAGTCAATGGATTTCCCAGGTGACATTTAATCTGAAAGGAAGAGTTTTTCTCTTTCAGTAATAGAAGCTGATTAGGAGAGAGTGTGTGTGAGTGTGTGTGTCTGTATGCGCTTACTGTCTATCTTTTTCCTTTGTGTGTGGTGACTGGTTGTTTTAAATTCAGAATCATCTTTCTTTAAGGTAAGTGTGACAATTCACACTGTATACAGGCATACATCTTTTTCTCTAAAAGTGATTCAGAGAATTTGTTCGTGTTTTCAAAAGGCTAAGGCAAACATAACCTTTGGGGACATTTATTATTAGACAAAAAGGCAGGATCGTTGGAAAAGCAACTCTTATATTCTTAGGATTCAGAAAGTGATGCTTAAGTTCATTGTTCATTGGATAATAATTCAGCACCAAATGGTTGCTGTTGTTTTTTTAAAAAAAAGATAAAATTCTTCCTGAGCTGTTGCTGACATTAAACATAAAGGCAAATATGATATAGTTACCAATGAAATGCATGAAGTCACTTTAAAAGAGCTCACATGATTATGGTGGGTTTTGTGCTTTATTGCTACTGCTGCTTTATTGTATTCCTCTCAGACAGCAAGAAAGGTGATGGGTCACAAGCTGTACAGTCAGGCTGCCTCGGCTATTCAGAAAACAAAAAATGGACTACCAGTTCCTCATACATACTTGCCCAGTGATGACTACAGGTAGTCCTTGACTTACAACAGTTCACTTAGTGACTGTTCAAAGTTACAGTGGCAGTGAAAAAAGTGACCTCTGACCATTTTTCACACTTACAACCATTGTAGCATCCCCATGCTCTGTGATTTACATTTGGATGCTTGACAATGGTCACACTGTCCCCCGGTCATGTGATCATCTTTGCAACCTTCTGACAAGCAAAGTCCATGGGGAAGCCCGATTCACTTCACAGTTGAGTTACTAACTGGATAATGCGGTGATTCACTCAACTACTGTGGCAAGAATGGTCATAAAATGGGGCGAAACACACTTAACAAATATCTTGCTTAGCAACAGAAATGTTGGGCTCAATTGTGGTTGTAAGTCGAGGACTACCTGTATTACAATGAACAGATTTTATAAAGCATATGAACCAGAACTATCCTGCTCGGAGAGTGGTTCTTTCTTCAGTTTATAGTCTCGTACCTTAAACATCACATTGTTTTGTCTCATCTATTTTCAATAAGCTTACTTAATAAAGTTTTCTTTCTGAAGCTGGACTTTGTCGAAATAACACAAAACCAGGCACCTGTTGTTTCTATAGATTAAAATTACTATCTTGGACACGTGGTTTTACATCATTTTTATGAATGCATTTTTGCTGTTGCGTGTGTTTTAATGCATTGTTTTAACCATAAAATAATAAAAATAATGCTTTAAAATGTTGCTATTAAAATGTATTTATTTAATTCATCAAATTTCTAGCCGGTCGAATCTTCTGCATTGGTAGTAAAAACATCTGCAATATAACAAAAAATTTAAAAACACTATTGGATTTATATATAAATAATAAATTAGTTGTCAATAACTAGTAGTAATAGTAAGTTATGTAGCCTGTTCATCTTTAAACAGGGCATATCTCTCCTTTAATCATGATAACATAATGTCCTCTTTAGTAGAATTACTTCATAAATGAGGTAATTAATAAATGAAGTAATGCAAGCTAATTTCTTTGAAGCCTATTAAATGGAATAGAATGTACTGGGAATGTAAAAAATGAAATAAATATAATAAAAGGATCCTAAGTATAATTTACAGAATAGCACATAAAACTGAGGTTAAAATGTTAATGGATTTTATGAGTTTCCTATCTGCAATCAAATTTCTGGTTTCCTGGTACAAGTATGTAGCATTTTAAAATAAAAGCAGATGTCCTAAAGAAATTTAAATGAGAACAGGTTGGATGCTCTGTTGGCACAGTGATGCCACATGTTGCATTTGTTCTGAAACTGATATGCTAGAAATCATTGGAAGAATGGGAAGTAATTTGATTATTTTTTTTAAATGAAATATTCAGAAGTGTGGCATGAATTCAACATGAATAACAATTTTGAAGCAGAAAATACCATTGCCAAAGCAAAAACAAAAAACAAACTTTAGTTTCAGCAGCAGTGGGTGTTTTTTTTCTTCTGATCTACCAATTCTTTTCCTCCTTATGAGTGAGAATGTACTTTTGAATTTCTTTCCTTATGTTAGGCAAACAGAATGTGTGGAAGTAATATTATATCTAAACAATTCCAATGCCTCATCTTGTTCCTTGAACAATCTTTTCTTCAACAAAGTGTAGCCTTGCCTTGTTTTCTACTCTTCAATTAAATCACACCGAAGACCTTATAAGGACACTTCACCCCATGGGGCTTTTCAGATTAAGAAGTGTCGGCAGGTATGGAGGCTGCAGAGTGATGGAAAGTTGTGTAACTAACACTAGCAGCAATTCAGTAGCAGTTCCATCAGTAAAAGAGGCTCGAAACACCAAGAGAAAAATTGGAAAGAAATTCTTAAAAGAAAAAAAAACTTCCTTGAGAAAGAAGAACTAGATCACAGAAGCCTCTTTCCTATTGGAAGGAAAGTGAAATATTGCAATTCAGATTTCAGCATAGCCCTGGACATTAAATTGGTTCCATTGTTTTAGCTTTGTTTCAGCTATTGTTCACCCTTTGTTGCCAGTGCAAACATGCTTGCATTTATTTTACACAAAACATATGTTAAATAATGCTGCTTGTGAATCTGTTTCCTCTTACAGAAATTTAAGTAATAACAAGATCAAAGAGATCCGAGAAGGCACTTTTGATGGGGCAGCGGGAGTGCAGGAACTGATGTTGACAGGGAATCAGCTGGAATCTGTGCATGGACAAATGTTTAGAGGTCTCACGGGACTCAAGACGCTGTATGTATAAAGTCTGTTTGCTCTTTTGGAAGAGAGAGAAGCAAAGCAATACTGCCTGTTGTGGATGTACAATAATAGACGCAATGTCAGGAAAATGATTGGGAATGAAGAGGAAAGTTTTCCCTAAATCAGTTGAATGGCTTATTAAATCTGTTGTAATTATTTTCTAGGTTGAATTTCTAACAATCTTGAATATCACCAGAGCTGTCAAACTCGTGGTCTGCAGGCTGGATGCGTCATGCACTTCCCATGCCAACATCTAGTTTAACGAAGGAGAAAAACACGATACGTTACGTGACACCACCGTGACAACACGAGTTTGACACCCCTGACCTATTTGGCACAAATTGCCCTTTTTTTCATAAGTATTTTTTTTTAACTCCGGATCAATTGCTCAATGCATTCAATAGAAATTAGCTTGGGTTGATTAATTAACTAATTGCATTTTATGTGGCTGCTCATCAGACACTGTAATTTTCAATGGCTGACAAAAAAGGAAAGAAAAAAGAAACTAAAAACCAACAAAACCAAACATAAAGCATATCATTAAGATGAAGATTGTGTATTAAGAATAGTTCATGTTCATATATGAATTGGGAGCAACTAGCTAAACTTGCTCGTGTTGGAAAGCAAAACAGAATTATATCTACTTACTTGGAAAAGAGATCACCAGAAATCACAGGGCTGTAGGATAGATTGGGAAGACAATATGCATTCCACAAGACAGCAGTGCATTCCACAAGACAGCATCACTTCCCTATTGCTGCTAAGAAAATCACTAAGAATGGATTTTCTTTTCTTTTTTATATGTGAGCTGGATCATAGGTAGACAACTTTTGTTGTTTTCAATCTCTTGATGATCATCTCTCCACAGTATTAGAGAAAGAAATGGGAGCTTACAGTTCCATGGCAGTCAGAATGCATATGTAGTAATGCATATGAAAAATTTTCTTCTGCAGACTCAATAAACTATGTAGGATAGGTTGAGAGAAAATTGAATGGTTCATGTGTTTATTACTCTCAGTTTAATAATTCCTGAATTATTCCTGAATCCTACCTTATATTTGAGTGAAAATAGAAGCTCCCTGGGTATTTCCAAGTCAACCTATTTTACTTTTTTCAGGAGATCTGGATACATTGGCCAATTCTTAGGCAGCCCATGCTTCCTCTGATTGCCTTATTGCACAAAACAATTCTTTTTCTGTGTTTTTCCCTGCTCCCTCTCCAATATCAATTCAGTAAGTCTAATTTTATGTTTGAATCTTTTCAGGATGCTCAGGAGCAACACGATCAGTTGTGTAAACAATGACACATTTACAGGACTGAGCTCAGTAAGATTACTCTCTTTGTATGACAATCGCATTACCACAATAACTCCAGGAGCCTTCAATACCCTTGTTTCTTTATCTACCATGTAAGTCATCTGTTATCACTTAAGATCTTGCATTTACTTTATTGTTGCTGCTTTCATTTAATTACGTGAAACCCCCCACCCCAAATTGAAATAATCCTGGAGAATATTCCAGAGCTTCATGCATGTCGCCTTAATAATTTTCAAAGTAAAGGGAGATTTTAACTGGGGATTAGTATTCTTGTTCTCATGTTGCAGCTATGAGGCCTAATAGGGAGAAGAAGTCTTTAAAGCACTGTGAGAAGCACTGTTTCTCATACTTGGCAACTTTGAAATGTGTGGACTTCAACTCTCAGAAATCCCTAGCCAACATGAATTCTGGGAATTGAAGTCCACTATCTTAAAATTGTCAAGTTTGAAAAAAACTGTCAATACAGATTCTTAGTCATCCAGGTCAAAAGTGAAAAAGCACCTTTCGGACATTTGAAAAACTGTTTTAAAGGGTATCCTAGAAGAGACAATGTCTAAACTGGATAAGATGGTGAAGGTTTCATAGTTCAGGTATTATTAATTGTTAGAGCAGTTGCATTTTTGGGTGGATAGTCTCTTGGAATTAAGATTAAGGATCCTGGTTTATAAAAAGATAGACAAATGTCCTCATTTCTATTTGTGAAGGTTTCTTTTTCAAAGATATCCAAAAGGATATTTGTTTCATTTTGTTTCTTGTTTTCTTGTTTATTTTGACTCCCCATCTTACTATAGGGTAGCTCTGGGCGGCTCACAGTTACATATACAGTTAAAACATAAAAAGACATTAAAACCAAGGACACGTGGAGAGGACAGGGGTGGAGGTGGAATCTTTTATTACTCAATCAACCACCTTCATTGCACTGTTCCCCCACTTGGGCTCCAATTTGACTGGCACAGCCACATTTTTAGATCCTTACAAAAAAAAAAATAGGAGGGTTGGGGGCCAACCTCAAATCAGGCGACAAGATGTTCCAGACAGCAGGAGCAACAGCAGAGAAGGTCCTATTCCTGGACCCCACCAGTTGGAATAATTGGGCTGACAGGACCTGTCAGGCCTTCTCTGTTGGCACAAGTGGGGTGGGCCACCCAGTGGAGTGAGACGATTCCTCAAGTAAGCTATGATCATAATTGTGATCAGCATTCCCGCTTTCCCCTAAAAATATAATGGGAATTACTGTTAGAATCCAACAGGTGCTTATGCTAGTGGCTAGAGTAATATAAGAGCTTTGCACTTGGTCCTTGGTGTGGCTGAAAAAAGAGATATTCACTGAGGCCTGATTTTTGATAGATTGACCAAAATTATTTTATTGGACAAATCAGTTTTCCAGGCTCACAGCAATAGTATAAATGTTCTATTACAAGCATCATTTGAATTTTAATTTCATGACTCAGATCCTTCAGGCCTTTTACTAATCTCTCTACCACAGATCCAATGGTTTTTGTTCTGGTTTACTTTTTCTGTGTGTATTAAGAGTCTTTGAAGTGTTCTATTTGTATGCCTTATCATTCTTTACTTTAATTGCCACTTAAGTATTCTCACATTTCTTTCCAATTTTTAACTTGGCAAAACCTGTATTTATTTTCCCTGCCCTTCTAGACTTTTAAAGTTACTCCTTTCATTTGGGTTTTAGACAGGCCTTGTATCCTGTGCCACAATCATTAAAAACAGCCAAATAATTACAATCCTAACAATGACAGTTGCAGAAGGGAGAATAGACACCTTTAATCTTTTTTCCTCGTTTTGTTAAAATAAAGTAGATAAAGATGATTTGGTTTTGAGATATCCATAACATTTTGTTCATGTCAAATCATATGCAAATGTGTGTGCGTGTGCTTTATATCATATGTATGAAGAGTCACTGATAATTGTAGTGTGGACATGAATAAATTGCAGAAAGTACGACTTCAGCAACAGTGTGGTCAATGCCTGGAATGCACTACCTGACTCTGTTGTTACATCCTCTAACCCCTCACTCCTTTAACCTCAAACTATCCAATATTGACCTTACCCCATTCCTAAGAGGTGTGCATAAGTGCACCATCGTGCCTACCGTCCCTGTCCTATTGTCCCCATTTATTCGTACCTATTTCCTGTATTCTTACTCATGATTATACTTATACCTATTATCTTGTAAGCGATTGACAAATAAATAAATAAATAAATGTTTTGTTTTTTTTCAAATTTAATCACAGATATAAATGCAAGCATGCCATTTGTACTAAAGAATTTTCATCCAGCTGGATTGCAATAGTTAACCTGTTTTGGAAGGGAAAGGTTTCCTTTCACTTCAAACATAATTACAATTAATTAGCTACTTTTCAGAAAACTTCATTTCCTTACTTCATGTGATATTTCTGTGACTATTATGAGAGAAATACTTGATCTACGTGCTTAGATACAGCAAGATAATTTTAATAATGCTACTTCTTTGAGTTTTGCACAATAAAATGCATTATTGTCTGTTTCTTTAAATCATATTGGCTGTTAGATATTCCAGTAGCACGACGATCAATAATTTTGCTCTGAAAGCAGGTTTAGCTTTGCCTTAATATCAATAAATTTCAATAACTATTTATTTATATGCAGCCCAAATTCCCAACTCCTCTTAAGCTATTATTTTAACTGAAGTTATCTGTTTGAGGCTAGGGAGCAAATTGACTAAAATATATCATGTCATATGCCTCATCTCCTGTTAGTTCATATTTCAGAAACTGCTATATGCATTTCAAAATAACCAAATTGAACTGCACATTACTTTAATAATGTTACTAGCAGCCCTTCCTTCCTTCCTTCCTTCCTTCCTTCCTTCCTTCCTTCCTTCCTAAAATGCTGGTTGAGTAACTTATAAGACTGAAGCAGAGATAAGGAACCTATGACTTTTCTGATGTTGCTGAATTACAGCTCTCAGCATTCCTCTCCATTGATCTTGTTCTTGTGACTGTTCAAAATTGTAATTTAGCAACAGCTGAAGGGCATTGATTTCTAATCCACTCTAGACTATTGTTATTTGTCATAAAGAGACACTTGTGGTTATTGGGGGAAAAATCTCTTTAAAAAGATATGGCATTAACAGTCACATATCAGATTAACTTGTATTCTTTGGAGCTTCTGAGACTCATCAGATTGTCTTCACATGATGCAGAGGCAGAAACACAAAAGCAAGAGCTTCTTTTTACAGGACTACATTGTTTAGCTACAGCTAAGAATTTCCATTTTAAAATAGATTACAGGCTGAACTAGTACATGATAAGAAACCTAATGACAACAGAATTTGTTAGCCGGTAGCTTTTTCTTTTTTATGTCTTGTTTTTGAGAAAACAAAAAACCCTGTTAGGCATGCATTGTACCATTGTAAAATTAATTTATTACCAGAAGTTTCCTACTTGAATGTCAATTAGCTTTTGAAAAATCTGTGTCTTGATTTCTTCAATAGCTGACTGCATTTTTTTTTCTCATTTTTCATCTAGTAATTTGCTATCTAATCCATTTAATTGCAACTGCCACTTAGCATGGTTGGGGAAATGGTTAAGGAAGAGAAGGATTGTCAGTGGAAATCCACGTTGCCAGAAACCCTTCTTCTTAAAGGAGATTCCAATTCAAGATGTTGCTACACAGGATTTCACATGTGATGGTAAGCACATTTCTAGAACATAATAATAAGATCATATTGGATCTTTCAATAGTATGATATTTCAGCCAAATATGAATGCACATAATCGGAGATGAAGCTTTTCTCCACATATAGGTTAAAAGAAATTGTTTTCTCCTATAGGTTTCAACAAGGAAAACAGGCAAAATATAATAAGAAGCAGGGATTTACATGAGTTCTCTTCTTGACATTATCAGGAACTCTAAGAATTTGGAGAATGATATTAACCATTGGCCTGCATTCAAAATCTCGTTCTTGGAGAATAGCCAGAATGATTAATTGATTGGTCCCATCAAGCTACTCTAAGCGACCATATCAAGAAATCTTTTCCAGTATGACCTTTCCCCAAATAGGCCTTTTAAGTCTTCCAGTATTACACCCCTTATTGCTATAATTGAATCCACCCATTTCACTATTGATCTCTTTTCCCCAGCAATTTAGACTTTGCTAAAGAGCTACTGTAGGTTTTAAATACATGTGTCCAAAATTGGTTAATCTTGATATGATTGACACAATTAGATATCTTTGTATAATCACTGATTATACCAATTTACCTTGACTTATTGTTGGTGTTCTTTTCTCAGATAGCCAGCGTACATTGCCAATAATGGCTCTTTTTCTTCAGCTTCTTTTAGCAGTATCTTTCCATGTAGGGATTCTAATCTACATGAGATTACCCTAAGAATTATTTTGATATTAAGGTTATTGTACAGTAGTTTTCACATTCTTTTAAATCTTCTTTCTTTAGAATTGGCATTAGGACAATATCTTCCAATCTGTTGGCTGCTGATTGGTTTTTAGATTTTCTGGCATAGTTTAGTTGGAACCTGTACTAATTCTTCTTCCCTTGCTTACTGTACTTTTGTACAGATTTCATCATGCCTGTAGCCTTCCAGCTTAATCATGAACTGAGTGTTAATCTAGCTTCATCTTCTAGTAAAAAGCCTTAACATTTTTGAAATGAAAAAAATTGGCACCAACATTCCAAACTCCTTCACATCAGAGTGCAAAACACAGACTTTGATTCTGCAGTGCAATGCATTTGGCCATTGTTTATTTTAATTGCTTTTCTAATGGAAATTGGAACTTTTGCCAGCATAATAAAAGACTATAGTCTGTTCATTTTATTAGACACAGTCAAGCATTGAAATCATTGTTCAAAACTGAAGCCAATGACTTATAACATTGTGAGTCCTGTTCAGTTGAAACAATTAAAATGATTTTGAGAATAATCACCAAATGGCAGGTAGATAATTCTCTGGATTGTGATTTTTTTTTTAATTAGCTGCCTTTAAAGATTATTTTACATTTTTTTTCTAGGCATGTTTAGATACCACCATTAGCCTGTATCTAGTGCTTTGTGAGCCCACATGCTAATTTTGGAAGAAATCCATGACTTAATAGTCTTAACTGAAAGGCTTACTTTCATAGCAGGAACTCTCTTGCTCTCCAACTGTGAGGTTTAATTTGTTTTATAAAATCTGCTTTGTACAAATGAACACCCATGTTTCAGCTATTAGGTATTTTTATGCACATGCACGTGGATCTCCAGTTTTCGGGGAAAGCATAGCTGATCTTGTTGCTTGATGCTCATTGTGCTTGTTAAAAACAAGACTCATGATTTAAAAAAAATAAGGAGCGTATCATATAAATATTGAAAGGCTGGCATAATGAATAAATTGTTCATCATGTCAGGAAACAAATGGATATTTTTCAGAGCATTTTTTAAAGGATAAACAGGGTAAATGTTTTAAAATAATTCAGATCTATACATTAGTCAGTAAACTACAGCACTAAGTAAATGATCCATCATAAATGCACTTTCTCTTTGGTCAGCTTAAATACAGTATTTCTCCCCCCCCCTCCCGAACATAGTCAAATACAGTTATTTTGCTGTCATCTGCAGGATGACAGCGATTGTGCCTATGATTTCATGGGTGTAAGTACCGTATTTATCGGCGTATAACACGCACTTTTTTCCCCCTGAAAATAGGGGGCAAATGATGTATGCGTGTTATACGCCGATATAATGTTAAGAAGCCTTCGGTGAATGCTGCTGGGATCGGGGATCAAGGACACAAATGAAAGAAGGGGAGGGAGGAAGCAACCGAAGCCTGTCCTTCTCTCTGGGTCAGCTCTGTCAGTCGCTCTCTCGCTCCTCCACCAGCACAGGAAGAAACTGCTTCAAAGAAGCGGGGGGGGGCTTTTCCTGTCGCCGCAGCTTCCCTGAAGCGCCCGTTTCTCCCCCACCCCGCCCGCCCGCCCGCCCGCAGTGCTCCGTTCTGCCTGCCTGCCTGCCTTCGTTAATGGTTGAATCGGAACAGCTTCGGCTGAGTAAAAGAGGCGAATAGTTATTATTCTCAGCCGAAGCTGCTCCCAAACAACCAGAAACTAAGGCAGGCAGGCAGGCAGGCAGAATGGGACACTGTGGATTGAAGCGCGCGCGGGGGGTGGGAGTGGGGGTGAAATGGGCGCTTTCCTGAAATTTCCCTCTTAAAATGAAGATGCGTGTTATACGCCTGTGCGTGTTATACGCCGATAAATACGGTAAATATCGAAAATTAAAATGACCCAAACCCCAAATTGATTTCATGGAGGAACACAAAAGATTTTGTTTTTAAAGGTTTTTAAGATTTAATTGAAATATATTGTTGTTGTTTTTATGGCAAATTTAGAGGGATTTGGTGGGTACAATATTGGGAAGCTCATGGGCACCTATCTGCTGATTTATCTTTTGAGGGGTAAATCAATCATCCTTAGTAATAATATAAATAAAATAGCAATACAAAGAGTTTGTGCTGGTTTATGAAGCAGAACTCATAGGATTGGAGCATTTAGTTAATTGTATTTTCATATAGAGATGCAGTTTGGTGTAGTAATTAAGGGAACAGGCTAGAAACCAGGAGACTGTGGGTTCTAGTCCTGTCTTTAGTCTCTGACAATCAGACACAATTGAGCAGAAGGGAAAAAAATTGCCATTTTTTCCCTCATGGAAACATTTTTTTATTTCATAAGGTCTATCTCCCTGCCCATCTTTTTAACATGCAAATGTTATATAAGCACACAGACAAACCCATCTAAGTTTATTCCAAATTAAAAATTTTGTAACTAAATACATGCAATCAGTACTGACACTGGAATTAAAACAGTCTAAACCAAAGGATAAGCTAAGAATATTATATATGAGGTCAAATTGACAACTAAAAAGTTTAATTGAATAATGTACCCTGATTATGATGATTTATACCTAGTGATTGTACTAGATTTACATGATACTAATGTGCTAGAAATGAATTTTCTCAATTTTATCCTATCTGTATTTATTAACATTATTTCCATCTACTTTCTCTGCTTTTTTGTAGGCAACACTGAAAACAGCTGTCATTTCTCTCCCCGTTGTCCAGACAAATGCACCTGTGTGGACTCAGTAGTTCGCTGCAGTAATAAAGGGTTGCGGTTCCTCCCAAAAGGGGTCCCCAAAGATGTGACTGAATTGTAAGTCATACTTTCACAACTTGTAAAATTGTATGTAAGAAGAATTAAGTAAGTATTGATCAGTTTCAATTACTAGTTTACAAAATATTGTTTTTCTTTCAAATCAGAATACTGAGACTCAACATTCTAAATCAAATACAAACTGATAGCAGGACTAAGTCAGTGCCTGAAGCAATGCCATAGAGATTCTGTTGCCTCAATACTTTTCTAGAGAGATAGTGCCTCTGTACCTCTGCACCCTAGTATAGTAGCAACTTATACAAAATTCTAATTTATATAGCTAAAAAAAAAGTCCTAAAAAAGGAAGGGAGAATTTAATAGGAGAAAAATATCCCAATCCCCAAACCCAATGATGAACAATTAGTATCCCCAGAACATCACTTTTATTATATACGTCAATGATAATAATAATAAAAATAATAATTGAAAATAATACAATCACAAGCAGTTTATAAATATCTACAATAGGATCGTGGTTAAAATACTGTTTGTAATTCTGATCACAGTATGGTAAAACAGTGAAAATTGCAGAAAAGGGACAAATAAAAAGATCAACAGGTAAAATTAACCCTCATTTGATAAAAGTGGTTGGCTTTTTATCTTCAAAAAAAAAGATTAAATTTTGGGGGGAAAGAATATGATAGAAGACATGAATTTTTTTTCTTTCAACAGATTAAAACACATGGTCATATAACAAAACTAATGGTTGATCAGAAATGCTATTCACACTATGAAGATTAAACTTCTGGATTTACCACCATATGTGACAATGGTGACAACAGGAATATATTTCAAGGGGGATTATGCAGATTTAAGGTTGATAAGGCTCTTGATGGTTACTATGGTATTTGTGTGTGGGTTATGTTTCTGTGTCTAAGGAATATTGGTAGAACTTTTATAACTATCAACTAGAAAACATGAGTGAGAATAAACTCCTGTTTGTGGGTTTTCCCCTGGCATCTGATTGGAATAGAAAGCTGGTGTAGATGGGGCTTTGATCTTATTCACCAGCCTTATTCACCAGCTTTTACAATTCTCAGTTCCTTTCATTCACTAAAGGATGGATTATTTGGTTTCAATCCAGAAAGACTGCTATGAATGCAAAATATATATGCAAAGCAATGACACATTTTACTTTCATGGAATAGTTAAAAGGGGCTAATATAATAGATATTAATCAGGTTAAATTGTGAATTATATGAGCAACAGGAAGGGATGGCTTCTCATTTACTTCTAATGTTACTTTTTTAAACAAAGAAAATACAAAATACAAAAAAAAACCATTTGATTGGGCTATCAAATCTGGGTTTCATTAACTCTACAACCCATTAATGGAAACAAAGACATGCATTCTTTGCTGGTGAATGCTGTTTGCCCCAGCATCAATTTTATGTTGCCTAAATGCTAATATGTGGATATACGTTTGGATTTTTTTTAAACTCTATGTAAAGCTGGAAATAAAAGTTGGAATTTGTCACATCTAGTTTTATCATGTAATTGTAGTATAGAACATTAGAAATTTTTGAAAATGTGGCTCTGATATTCATATATGACTGTAATTGATTTTCACCGTAAATGTGTGTATATTGAATGGTATTTCATCTATAGTCTACATTGTGTGTGTGTGTGTATCTGTGTGACTTTGGGGGAGATGCTTCTTTAATTTCATTCCAAGGACTTTCAGAGTTACAGCAGCTATCTCAAATTAGTTTTTCTTCTCATTAGAAAAAGAAAAGAAAAAAAATGAAACAGCGCCACTATTCCTTTCTCCATTGAAGAAATTGGATTTCCCATATTAGATTAATTGGTAGACAGGAACAAAATGCCTTATAATAATCTGAAATGTTTCCTCAAGAAAAAATAATATACAAAAGTAGCGATATGGAAGGTCTTTATGCCAATTCATTATTGTATTTTTAAGACCACTTAATAAAGTTCCCTTGGTAAATTACCAAAAAGCTAAATGCAAAGAATGCCCAATTAAACTAACTGTAATTCATTTATAATTGTCAGTTTGTGACTGAGATACTCCAAACTTCAGTGATGTGTCTTCATTTATTTCCTTGTCTCCTCTTTGTAACTTTGATCTTTACAGATTTTGGTAACTGTTTTTCCTGTTTAAAAAATCTATGTACCAAACAATGTTCAGGATCTTTTAAAGTTCTCTGGTACCTCCCTCCATCTCCATCTTAAATGTACAAATATGTGAATTAGAGTAACCTTATTCCTCAATTACACAATAACATTTATCTCTGTGATAGGGTTTCTGTTAAGTAGCTAGGTACTTTAGATGGCTCCCAAGCACGATGAATGGATGTGTTATTGAAATGGTAAATTAAAAACCCAAAATAAATGTGAAAAGCAGCATTTCTGGTTAAATAAATGTGAATGTGTAAATATGCAAAAATAATTGACTGTAATATGTGGCTGATTTATCCTAGCCTATTTCAATAATAAGGGAATCTGCTAGTGAGGAAAACAATTGCTTTGGTTTGATCATCATATTTGGAGTGTATATAAGCAAAACCAGTAGTGTTTTTCATGATCGTTTGTTGTTCCTGCTGTTGTTCTTTTTGGAAACCTAAACGTTGACAACTATCATATCCTTATGTCAATGAATGCTGTTAAGCAATATTATCATATCCTTCAACAGTTAATTCAGGGAGACAAGTGCAGTTAAATATTCATGGATCATCATACAGCTTCAGAATATTATTAGTTTAGATCCTATCCTCCCCATAACTTTTCCCAGATCTATTCTGGTATTCCTAAAAGAGTCAAGAGCGGGTGATTTTGACATCTGGTGTTGTTTTGTTCTCTGTCATCCACAGAACTTTTAATTTGTAAAAAAAAAAAAATGAGTGCCTGGCTTTTTGTTGCTATTATTCTGAGCATTGATGTTCTCTTGCTGTACTTATTTGATCAGTCAGATATAAGAGTGTATCTGATGGTGTCTATTTACAAATGAACCAGTCTGGAATGATTTTCTCTCTCTCAACCCCCACCCCACCATCACCACAATCACTCACTTGCAATAAGTGATTGGTTGGTTGCAGGACTTGCCAGATAAGATTTGGGAGCCCTGAAGTTACAGGTTGTTGAGCAAGAAGGCCTGTTGCATTTGTAGAGTTGGATGAATCCTAAAGATAGAAGCCCAAAATCAGAAGCCTACATTTCAGATCCATTTTCTTTTTCGTCATAGCAAAAGTTGTGCATAGAACCAATACATTCAGACTCTTTTCTTTAGCATTCAATTTGTTTCATTGATTCATGCATATATTAAACATAGCACTAAGTATTTTTTTTTCTGCATTGGAACACTTCTGTTTCAATACTATGGTGATTAATTTATTAAGAAATTGACTTTTTGTTATTTTTCTTGGTAGTGTCAAATGGCCTTTGCTTGGCACTGCAGATCATCATTATCTCATAATAATGTCTTGTAATATAATTGTCCTTTTGCTAATTTCTGGGAACAGCCTACATTTAAGAGTCGTGAAAAGTGATGGAATTTTTAACTCTCCAGATTCAAAATGGTGTATCAATTAATACTGCTGAAATGGACATTTGTATATTTTTGATTCTGTATAAGCAGATGTAACTATTTTTGTGTTTGCTTACAATTATCAAAGAGTGGCTGTCAGGAAAGCAGTATTAAATTGAGATAATTCATAGCTATGTGTTTCATTTTGCAGCACAAGCCTGTTGTCATAGCAATAGCACTTAGATTTATATACTCCTGCATAGTGCTTTACAGACCTCTCTAAGCAGTTTTACAGAGTCAGCATATTGGCCCCAACATTCTGGGTCCTCATTTTACCAACCTCAGAAGGATGGAAGGCTAAGTCAACCTTGAGCTTGGTGGGATTTGAACTGCCAAAATGGCAGCAGCCAGTAGTCAGCAGAAGTGGTCTGCAGTACAGCACTCTAACTACTGTGCCACTGAGGCTCACTACTGATATCTTAAATGAATACAGGGTATGTCCAAAGAAAATGCAAGTATTGAAGTGACTGAGATGCTCCAACCTTTAGTGATGTTTTGGGGAGCTTGCTTTAAAGGAACCTCTGTCCAGAATAATGCATCCATATGTCATTTGTGTATATGTTCTAAATCTGAACAAAATTATGATTCCCAAGTAATGCTCAAACCAAATCTTGCCAACAAAAGGCAAAATGAAGGGCTGTGTGTATTATTCGTGCTTCATTCCACAAATGTCATTTGTGTATATACTGTCTTATATACAATTCTATTAATCTGATCGCTTTTACTCTTATTTGTCATAGTAACCCTTGAGATGCTCAAAGGATGATATTTGAAAGCTATCCTTGTGTATCTTATATGTCTTTCTCCCTAACTGATTTGTTCTGTTGTCTGGTAAAATTCTAGTTATAAAAGAAAAGATTTATTTAGTAGCATTTTAATTAATGTTATGGAATCATATATTTATAAACTCCAATTTTCAATGGGAAAATTACAAAAGTTGTGATAAAAATGTTCAGCAAAAATGTTTTTTATTAAACCATAATCATCCACATTCATTTTAATTGAGAACAAAATTTGCCATATATCTAACAGAAATTTAGTAAATTAGAACATTGAGAGTTCCAAAATATCCATATAAAAGGGAATCTTATACTGTAAGAGGTCCTAAATAACATTGCACTGAAATGGATATGCAGATGGAAAATTTCATTCCCCCAAGGGAAGAGAATTTCAGCATCGAAAAATGCTGAATATATTGTTCATTTTTCAGTAATAAGAAATTCAAAATAAATTTCTGGACTGTCACAATTGCTGATTTGGCATGTTGTAAACATTAGCGGATGCTATATAGTACCAGTAATTATTGCCCAAAGCATAATAGCCACAGCACTAGGTGACTATGTCAGTTCCTTGACATCTTAACAATTTCTAGACTAGCATGAACTATACCATAGTTAACCCATATGCTGGAATCACTGTACCAACTGCTGAAGAAATTATATTTTTCTTTCCTTTG